AATTGTTAGCACAAGACATATGTACCCAGTCAAATGTTTAAATGAAAGATGGACTTACTATAAGTATAAAATAAACTTTACAAAAAGAAAGAAGAAAAATTATCCAGAAAGATATACAAGTAAGTATACAAAACAAATTATGGCAGGTGATAACTCCAAATCAGAAAAAAATTAAACCAGTTCTATTTTTAATTCCTAATTGGTTTTTGAGAGCCAAACACTTCTGAAAATACTGACAAGACAGATACAGACACTTGTCCAGGAAGTCACCAGGATTCAACATTGACTCAAAGGTACCAAAACCAAAAAACAAACAAAACAAAAAACAAAACAAAACTGCCAAAAGCATATTATTAAATACCAATTAGGGGGAATATCCACATTACAAAAAAATCTGTGACCTGTATTAAATGAATAATTGGGTATTTTGAGCTCAAATCAGTTCCAAATTGATCAGAAAAGGTTATTTTGCATTCAGAACAGTATGTTTCAATTCAAATAAGTTCAGATTCAAATGTTTTGCACATATATCTCATACCCAACAATGTAAAATCTTGAAATTTTCCACAGGGATACAGATAGTCCTTGACTTATGACAACTGGAACCAGAATTTCCAATGCTACGTAAGACAATTTTAATGAGTTGCACCACCCCATTTTATACCTTTTCTTGCCACATTTAAGCAATTCACCGCAGTTAAGTTATATGGTCCTTAAGCAAACATAGCTTCCCCAATTGACTTTGCTTTTTGGAAGCTGGCTAAGAAAGTTGCAAATCTTGATTACATAATCCTGAGATATTGTAACAATCTAAATACATGCCTGTTGCCAAACACCTATATTTTGATCACATGATAGTGGGGATTCAATGATGCTTGTAAGTGCAAAATCATATTTTTTCAGTGCCACAATATAACTGAATGGTTGCTAAACAAATGGCTGTAAATGGAGGACTACAATGGAATCTTCAGTGATGACCATAATCTGTTCTGAGAATTTGGTCGTCACCTGATTTGCTTATCATCGGAAGCACATGCACATAAAAACAAAAATGGTGTGACACAGAAAGGAAAATCGGCGCAGAAGGGCAAATTGCTGCTCTTTGATCACCACCCAAACACCTTTTTGCGACCAGAGGTAAGAATTTTTGTTCATCACCCGATTTGGTCATAAACGGAAGCGTTCCTGATCAGAGGTTCCACTGTATCTGTATTTCTCCTTATATTTCCAAAATACATACATTAGGATTCTACTAGAATTAACAATGCTTTTTAAAAATGTCACCTAGGGTCAGAATATTAAAGTTTGCAATTCTAATAATTTACATAAAAGTAATTTTTATTTAATTTAATGTTGGAAATTCTTTTTAGCAATTGTTGAAATGTTATTTTAGATTTTGTATACTATTATGATAAGACTTATCAATAACAGTGATAAATAGTACTATAACATGAAGTACATTAAGAACATATAGACATGACTAGAGAAACTACTTACTATTCCTAGGGAATTAAAAATCACAGTGATTTTTTTAACAAAATGTTTTCTATCCCCTGACATAACAGCATTATCTAGAATTCCAAGCCACTGATATTACTTGTGATTCCATTTTAAGTAACAAGATCAATACTCGCAAATTATGTCCTGGTTGTTTACAAGATGTACAACCTTAACTGAAATCAGTAGTATACTTCTGGTCAGATTAACCATTTCATTTATAGAAAATTTGTCTGTTGCATTGATGAAACAACTTGTTTGTTCTTTCCTACCCTAAAACTGCTCAGATTTCTATTCAAGATTCCCAAAGTAACTCTGGAATTAGAAACAAGAAAAAAATCCAAGAATTAGAATGACATTTTAGCCTACATTTATAGATTTATTTGCCTAAGTTTGATAGATAATAATAAATCCATTTAGATCAGGCTGTCAAACTCCAGGCCTGCAGGCCGGATGCATCATGTGCTGGCCATGCCCACCCCCGGTTTAGGGAAGGGGAACAAAATCCCAGTAGGTCACGTGATGTCACCGTGACAATGTGAGCTTGACACCCAATTTAGTTGTTAAATAGCGGGTAGAGACATCTCAAAATTCAGCTACCATAAGGTTACCTAGAAATCCTCCAATAAATAATCATAGCGAGAGAAACAATTAACATCATGTTGGGCATCAAACCCTAATCAGGAAACAGATACTATGACTACAAGGCCCCAACAGGCCCAAACTCTTCACTATCTAATCCCTGTATCAATAATCCACTAATGCAGTTTCTACCCAAAACTCAGTTCTGAACCAATCCTGGAATATATGTAACTAATCTAAAATTGCCTGGAATAAATAGGCTATCTTTTACACTAAAGCCATATTTAAAAATTATATAATGGAATCTGAGCAAGCATTTTCTAAGAATTTAAATTTGGCTTTCATATAAACAATTTCAGAGTTATTCCTACAATACAGTTGGGAAAACGTATAGTTATTACTATACTTATTATATCTACTAAGAGCATTTCTGGCACATTTCAGAAGCCACAAATTGTAAGGATTCAAAGGTAAAGTTTATTTCCAAGTAGCTTGTCCATTTCTCTATTACCAGTAACACAAGACATTTATATAAGTGAAATGCTAATGCGGGTAAGCTGGAGGTTTTACTTATGAAAACTAAGACTGAGATCCCAGAATCATCTATGCTTTCATAGTCTTTTCTCTGCTGCAGAGGACTATATATTAGGATCTTATTCAGTTAGATGAGTGTTATAATACATAACTTCTGAAATAATTATTTTAAAGTCTTGCAAAGTAATACAACATTATGCTGGGAATTGGTCTCTGTGCTATTTTGCACTTTAAAAATTAAACATGCATTTATTTTGGACTCTAACATGTAAACATATTTTATAACAGATAAAACAATTTTAAAAATGAGAGCTAGGCAGATAATGAACATGGAGTTAGTATTCTTCACAATTATACTATGACACACATATATGCATATTCCAGGCTTCAAGAAAGCAATTATTAGACATAGCTGTCTTTCTAAGCACTCTATGCAGTTCATATAAATTATATATCAATAGTCCTTCAATATCAAGCCAAAATTTCCAAACTTCAGAAAAAAGATAAGTAAGATAGCCAAGTAATATTTGTGCTGGCTGCCACTGCTCACTTTCTAATTATTTTAAATAATAATTAAAAAAGGCTAATGATAGCTGGATCTTGATCAGAACCCCCCCTCCTCCATTCTCATTATCTAAAGTAACTGTGTCCCATGTAGGGAAGAGATTAAAAATGAAAATGGAATAACTAAGCTGTCTTTTCAAAAGCAATCCATTTTATGGCTGTATCCCGTATTATTTTCTTGAAGAATTGATGGATACTTACCCAAACTACCTCTTAATCCAGGTTCACATGGCATGTAAAACTATGAGCAGTCTAAAACAAGCCATAATTACAAATGTTCTTACTCATAATTTGGGTATGGATGATGCAATCAAATAGCCTTGAGTATTTTGTGTGAATATAATCTCTGATTATTTTAAGGGCACCTAAAGAGTTCATGGTTTACTCCATATTAAATCTAACATTTTTTTCATTCATCCCATCTGCACTTCAACATAGAATATTTCACACTGAAGCATCAATTAATTCAGCATATAGAGAACAAGAATATATGAAAAAACCTTGATAGAATAAAAAAGTGTTTCTTCCAAAAATAAGGGGCTACCACTGAAAAGCCTTCTTCCAGTTCAATTTAATCTGAACTTCCTTACAATAACAGGGAGAATAGGAAAATTGCACAAACTGATATTGAATCTGCAAAGCCAAGGGCTATAAATTTGCAAACATATATATACTACCATGATCTCAACATTATACCCATGTAAAATATATTTGCCACACATTAAATGTCTTACTTTTATTTTGCAAAAAAATGTCATAATTATGAAAAATGCATGAATATTTGACCTAAATTTCTAGGCTCATGCTAAATTATCATAAGTTTTTCTTCTCATAAAGTTGTTAAAAATTAAAAGTGAGACACTATCCTTATGTTGTATTAAATAAAGTAAAACTAAGTGTTTGGTAAAAGGTGTAACACATTAAATACACTCAACTATATAAAGCAAACAAGGTACAATACTTTCATGAAAATAACTCCAACAAAATTCATGAAATTTTTTTCAAAAAAAATTTCAATAAAAGAGAACATAAATTAAAAGCTACTTAATGAAATCGTAATAGGAGCAAAACCATCTAACTTGTAAAACATATTCACTTATTATAAGGCAAGTTATTTTCAAACAACCTACCAAATTGGACATTCAAAATATGCAGAGGCATTTTAGCAACTGTTGCAGCTTCACTTTTGGGCAAGCAGTGAACATTAATTTGAAAAGTTGCATAATGAGTAAGAAGGCCAATATCTCTTGCGGTCTTTATTTTGAGATAAAACCAGGAAGAAACTGATCATTACGTATTCGCCAATTCCTTGCGAATTAGATGAATATTATGTAGCAAAGAACAGTGAAGTATCTGCCATTAGGGGCACTACAAAAAAAGCAAGGCAGAGGACCCAGTCTCATCTTTCCTTGTAAGCACCTTGTCATATAAATTTGCACAAATATTAAAGCAGAGCAAAACCGGATTGACTGCAACATCAGACCTCACTGAAGACTTAACTGAGGCGAATGAAATAAGCAACACAAAAAAACACCTACATCAGGTCACCTCTCCTATCGTGTGAAATCGCGTGGGTGCCACGATGAAGCTACTTGTCATATCATTCCGTTCCAGCAACGAAGATCTGGACTCTTTCTCTTCCTTTCCTCGCGTAAGACCCGGCGGCGGTGCAACTCAGGTGGGAATGGAATCGAGCATCTTCTACCCCACTTATTTCCTCCCTCCCATCGGGGACTAGGCTTTGCATCCGATTGCTGCTTTGGTCTCTCCCCGCTCCTGGCCCATTTGCCTCCCCCCCCCCACCCCCACCCCCGGCCACTTACTTGCCGATCACCTCGCACAGCTCATACACATCCTCGAACAGCACGTCGTCGTCGGCCATGGTCCAGATAGGGCAGAATTATCCTTGTAGGCGGCCGAGGCGGGAGGGGGCGCGGGCAGGATCCCCTCCGCGCTCCCTGCACAAGACGCCGCCGCCAATCAGCACACCACGTTAAATCCAGTCCTTTCACACCGAACAGCCCAAATCCGTCCCGGAGGTTCCAATGGCTACACCGAAAATTTCTCCAGTTGCCGCCGCTCCCTTTTCCTTTCTCCTCTGGGCCTCAGCCGCCCGCCCGCCCGCCTGCCTCTCGCTCCACTGCCGCCTCTCGCTCCCGCCGCCAGGTCGTCACCTTTTTCCCACCCCTCCGTCGCGAGTCTTTTTTTTTTCCTAGGGCCCCGGAGATTAAGCGAAGCAGGCAAAGGCTATCCAGCCAGAGGGGTGGAGCAGCAACCATGGAAGAAGGGATGAATACAAAAATGAACCGGCGGAGGGCAGAGACGCTTCATTCGCTCCCCTCCCCCACTGGTGCACACTCACACACGACGGGGGCAGAACGAGAGCGCGCGGCTCCGACCACGCGCCGACGACAGCGATAAGTCGTTTAACTAAGGGCGCGCGCTATCGCAGTCGCCACCTTTTTAATCAGTCACGCAACCGCCCAGAGCAAGCACGCGCACCCTTCCTTACAGAGGGCGAGAGGGGGGCTCCTCACCCACTCTTCCTCCTCCCTCTTTTCCTTCTGCACAAAGCCACTCCCACAAGTAGCTCAAAAAATACACGTTTGGCGTGAGGAAGCAAAAAGTGATTGTTCTGCGCAGACGCAGTTGCTTTGACGTCATAGAGCAGCAAGAGAAAAAAGTGGGTAATGCTGCTGTCTTCTCAAGCGGGTGGGTTTTTCTCGTAGCAGTTTTCGAGGCAAAGCTTCGAGATTGAAAACGAAGATGAAAAAACGAGCATGTCTTCTTCGAGTGTACGGATATCGGATAGTAAGGCACGGCAAGAAAGATCTCCGTCACAGTGCTTTTGGGTGTGTTTTTTTAATGATACCAGTTGACTAGTTTTTGCCAGAGCAGCAAGTCCTTTTGCTTATGCCAGAAACTAAAGGAAGGTACAAAAAGGAAAACTAGCAAAATTAGCTGTTGCTCCATAACCAAAATTCCTAATTGCAAGTTTTCCGTTTAATTATCTTCTGTTCTGGTGTATTTTTCCCTGTTCCTCAATTTGAGTAAGAATCTAATATTTTAAAAGTAATAGTGATATCGCATTCCTGAACCAACAAATAGAAATTCTGGTTTATCCATTCACTTTTCTATTCCAATTTGGATCACCTACTTCCAGATGGGAAATTACTTGCAAATCCTTGGCTGGATTTCTAGAGTGATTAATTATGTGCCATCAAACCTTAGGACCACATACATTTCTTCCACAACGTTCTGTTCCTAACCTAGTATTTTCATGTCTTCCAATGGTGCACCCATCACCATTATAAAAGTTCTTTTAATATTGCTCCTCTTTTTCTTTCCTTCCATCTTTCCCAGCATGAAATGTTCTTCGGTGAATTAAGTCTTTGCAAAGGAGGATAATTTAAACTTAGGCAGTTGTGCCTTGAGTGAAAGGTCTGTGTTGATATGTTTCCTTGGCTGTACACAATATTCTCAGGAGCTTTCTCCAACACTAACTTTAAAGACATCAGTACTTTTCCTATCCTGCTTCTTCAAAGTCCAACATTCACTTCTATAGAGTGTCATAGGGAATACCATGCATTTTATTATTGTGATCTTTGTAATTAAAAGCACATCAGTATTTGAATATCTTTTACAATGTCTTCAGGATTACTCCACTAAGTGCTAATCTGTGATGTATAAGTAGTCCTCAACAACAGTTTGTTTAGTGGCCATTTGAAATTACAGTGGCACTGAAAAAATAAGTTGTGACTGTTTTTCACACTTTATATCATTGCAGCATCCCATCAGTCATGATCAAAATTCAGGTGCTTGGCAACTGGCTGACATTTCTGATGGTTGCAGTGTTCTGAGCTCATGAGATCACCTTTTATGACCTGACAAAGTCAATGGATAAGCCATAACACGCTTAACAAACATGTTAGTAACTTAATAATTGCAGTGATTCACTTAAGTGTCAAGAAAGGTTGCAAAATGGACAACAAATGTCTTACTCGTCAACAGAAATTTTGGCCTCAATTGTCATAAGTTGAGGACTACCTCTATTTCTTGACTGCTCGTTTCTGTACTGTTGATGGTTGATCCTAAAAACTATCTACTTCTATATCTTCCTTAATTGTACAGGTAATATATATATAGAAGAATGGGGGGCAGGGACAGACAAGCCTATTCTGTCTTGTTGCACAAAAGCAACATCCACATTTCATCCGTGGAAACCAGGCTTGATTTAAGAATGCATACGCTTAATGGCTGATACCGTACTATCAGTAGTCCTTAACTTACAACCACAATTGGTACTAGAATTTTGATTACTAAGTGGATGTTAAGGAAGTCGTCATGTGGTAGGACATCATTTTGCAACCATTTTTAACCACATTTGTTTAGCAGATCACTGCAGTCATTAAGGAAATCTGGCTTCCTCAATTGACTTTGCTTATCGAAAGCTGTCTGGGAAGATCACAAATAATGGCCATGTGATTGCAACATGCTCTAATTCATAAATGCAAGTTAGTTACCAAGCACCCAAATTGAGATCATGTGTCTACAGGGATAGTGCACTGGTCATAACTTTATAAGCCATTTTTTTCTGAGGCGATTATGACTTTGAACCATTATTAAATAAATGGTTGTAAGTCAAGGACTCCTGTATGTGTAAAAAAGATTTTGAGCACCAAAATTTATAGTTAGAATATATAATATAGTTAGAATTCAAGGATTAGAGAAAAATTGTGATTCAAATGAGTTTGATAATGCTGATCTGTATGGACTAATCAGTGTAAGACAGTTTCTATTATCACAACAATTGAAGCAAAAGAAAAATGTGTTGCATAGTAGTCTGGATTTATGTATTACATTAAGCCATGGTTTAATTATGATTGATTATATAAAGCAATTGGCTATATTCACAAAGCACTTTAAGTCCATATGCAGTGGTGGGATTCAAAATTTACCACCACTGGTTCTGTGGGCATGGCTTGGTGGGGGTCATGTGACTGAGGAGATGTGGCCAACTCGACAGATGCAGTATGTATGTCCATGGCCATTCTGAAGCACCTTTTCAACTTCAAACTCAAACCCAAATTCTGCATCTGGACATTTTATTTTATCTTAGAAAGTAATTTGTAGTTCGGACCTACTAGCTTTCAGCAAAGAGCATCAGCTTTCTGTTGATAAAACTATTTTAATTATGCTTATGACATAATGGCTGAAATCTGACAAAATAAACTAGGACTGTAAAAATGGAAATGTTGCAGATGATCTGGGAACAAGGGAGTCTTGTAACTTATTAGGTATCTACTCTTGCTTAAAAAGTGTTATGAGAAGTATCATTTGAAAGAGCCATGATGGACAGCTGAGGTCCGATATCTATGGTCCATCTGGTGATGATAATAGTGTATGAGAGATAACTTTGAATGTAAGGAGTGTTTATACATTTCATTTGTTAAAAGAAAAATAGTTCATGCTGTGATACTGCATATTAATAAAAGCATGAAAAAGATACAGCAGATTGGAAACCAATTGGTCTGATTTTGTGGAGAATAGTGGAAAGAAAAGCAAGAACTGGTCCGTTATGTAAAATATAATTAATTTCCCAATAAAAAGAGAAAGTAGACATAAACAAGATATAGAATCTTTTTTGAACCAAATAAAAAGAATTGAATTACAGATTGTCATAGAAGTATATGGATTTACAGTAATGTGGAATATAAAAAGGATGCTTGGTGAAATAATATGGCAGAGAACAAAAATGAGATAAATATATTGAATAATAATTACAAAGTACAAGGAAGAGTTAAGATTAAATGAGGTAGAGAAAATACAGACAATTTTTGATGAAAGATCAAATTTTGGGATAGACGATTGAAGTGGGCTAAGCAAAGTGTCCAACAGAATAAATAGAATTAAAAATAAAGGTGATAAAATTATCTAAACCAAGGGTCGCCAAACTTTTCGACCTCAAGGACCACCAAACTAATACTTTTAAATCCCGAGGACCACTAATATGAATTTTTAAAAAAAGATAATATATTTAATATAAAAATTTTATTTTTTATATTAAATATAAATTTAATAAAATTAGTTTGTGTGTCTGTATGTATCTGTATGGTATTTAGGTTTTTTCGGGTATTTTCCTATGTCTTAATATTTGTGCTTTGATTATAGCCATGTTTCGGCAGAATCTCATCTGCCATCCTCAGGCTTGTGTACTGGGTTTTTTTTAATCTTGTGTGTCAGGCTTAGCAGCCATTTTTTGTTTGAATTTGGTGCTGGCTTTCTGCTTTATTTGAATGGTTTTTTCCTCATCTGGATTGGCTGGGAGTCTAGGTCTGTTTTTATTGATCTTCGAGTTGCTGTGTTCTTGATTGGTGGGCAACATTGTGTGTTGTGCATTGGGGTTTCTTAGTGCAGCTTGGTTTCTTGTGAACGGCCGATAATTATTTATTAGGAAGCTAGGTTTTATTTGGGTAGCTGGCTGGGTCATGTTTGGGCTGGAGGTATTGGGGGGTAGGGGGGTTGTTTGTGTCCAAGTGCTTGCCTG